CGACTCAATTATTTATAACAAATCGGATCGGATTGTTATCGGATCGGATTGACCTATATCCATATTTGATCCATTTAGTTAACGGATTATCAGATTCGAATCTTGATCGGGGTATTGGATTGAGACCCTAAATCCATCTCCCATTAATTTCGTCGGATTCGGATCGGATTCGGATCAAAATCCAATACATTGATAGTCCTAATTACAAGTAGTAGGATTTATTGGGCATAGGAAAGTGGGGGAATTTTTTTCAATTCCCATTTTACTTTCGTTGTTTGAGATTGAATTGAACAGACCATTTTCTTTAAAGAATCTTGGAATTGCAAGCAATGGAGTAAACAAGTTGACAATAAATGGAGTTATTAGGTAATTCTTTACAAGCAATGTGCACACAATTCGAGCATTTGATTTAGTACATTTTGGTTTTTCTGTTGATCGCTCAATTTTACAAGCACAAGGAGTCAAGGACTGTATATAAAACAACAATCCAAAGTTTTAGCCATTCAAGAGAGAGCATCTGACTAAAATTTGTGCTAGCTGTAGAGAACCGCTTTATTTTCTATTGAAGCTGAGCGCGAGTTATTTCTTTTAGTGTCTGTTTTAGTGTCTCTTCAATTTTATTTTATTTTATTTTATTTTTTCAAAGAAACGTGTGCTCAAAAGGTATAGAAAGAAAATGTTATCTTATGCTAAGTACCGATAACATGACATATTAATTCATTGACACTTTGAAATGTGTTTCATAATACCTCTCTCCTATCTCTGATCTCGTACCCTTCTTGTATGTATATTGCTTATAAAAATCAGTTTACGATAGATTGTTATGAAATAATGACGAGAGATTATACGGCACAATAAAAAGTATCAATCACAACACTAAAAGAAACAATAACAATTGGCATAGGAATGAAGAATTTATTAATACAGAGAAAAATAAAATGAATTGTGTTTTCAATATTGTCTAACTCACTAAAACTCATACAAAGTCATATGAAAACCATACAATTCGTGGAGTATATATAAGATCCAAAAGAATAAGTTTTAAATGGAAAATGAATAAAAAACGAGCCAAAAAAATGGAAACAAAACTTTTTCACATGAGGCTTCAGCTCAGCCTCGCGCCAGGCAAGTAGCGTGTGGCAACCCGACGCCAAGCAAGCGGCAGCCTAACGCTACCAATGGCGCTCGGACGCTGAGTTTCAATCCTAAGATTTGTTTCTTAGAGCCTAGGCACCCTGTTTGGGCGCTCAAGTGTTTAGTTGCTGCTCCAAATTTTCAATTACCAACTTTGATCCCTCTTAAACTTATTTTTCAATCAAAATGCGAACCAACTTCAGAATTTAAATCACATATTCAACATAGATTATTGATATAAAATGACATAATACTATTCTTTTGAGTATGTGTTAATAGTATTATATAAATGTCAACAAAAAGGAAATTATATAAAAAAATGGTATCAGAGCAAATTGGTATCGTCTTATTTCTAACAAGTGATATGAGAGCTATCACGGATTTTCTAACAGCTACAATATTGGTGAAATTTGAAGGTAAGAGGAAAGATACATGAGTGAAAGGCATTGAATTTATCTTTGTTAGGCAAAGGGGGCCATCATACATGTCTTCTTCACTTCCTCTTCTTGATAATCTTGTGATAACGTAATTTCTATGAGATTTGATATGTTGTTTTCTCATGAACAATTTGATACTCCTCCGGATTAAGACAGCAATAATCGACAATGATTGATGAAATGAATTGAAAGTTGAACAATGACACTTGAAACTTCTAGCTCTATTGCTTGTTTCTTTGGACTCTCATTACAACAAAAATTTTTTTTTACGGCATTCATTTACAACATGCATTTCAGACATGCCATAAAAAGTCTGTTTTTACGACGTGCCTTAAATGTGTACTGTAAAAATTCAATTACTTAAAGTATTTGCGGCATACATTTAGAGCACGCTATACATGGTCTATTTTTATGGTGTAATTCTCCGTAAATGATTTATTTGTAATTTTTTAAAGTTTGGAAAAAAATTATTTACGGCGTGCATATTGTATGCCGTAAAAGCTACAATTTACGACATACGTTTTTGCACGCCGTAAAAAGTTATAAAGATTTAAAAAGTTGGATTTTTCCTTCTTTTTGGCTCGTACCACATTTTTCATAGATTTTTATTTTCTTTTTCCTTCTTTATTTTTTTTCCTTCCACGTTTTATTCTATTTTCCTTTCCTTTTATTTTCCATTTTCCTTCGCCAAACCACAAGTTTTCTTCCTTCTGTTTTGTTTATGCTTCCTTTATCTTTGATTTTTCTTTCCTCTGCTATTTCCCGAATACTTATTCAATCATGTTTCCAGATTTCATTGACGGTGGCATAGCCATCAATCATCTTTTCATTACGGTCCAAACCCTTTTTCCCTTTTTGCCAAAACCTTTTTTTTTTCCTCTTCTCTACTCAATTGATCTCCTTTACTGTTTTTCCAAAATCAGATTACACACCTTCATCTGTTGATTTTGGTACTGGGTCCGGAGCGATTTTGATCTATGAGCGAAGGGATTGGAATAAATCAATGGCCATGAACGTGATTTCTTGATTTACTCACGGTATTAGTTTATTTCTTTAATTAGGTTTGGGTGGCGTAAAAATTAATTAAACTCGATTTGGAAGTTAAAGAGAAGCATTACAAGTAGGGCTGTAAATGGATCGGATCTGCCTATATCCGATCCGATAAAAAAATTATCTGATTCGATCCGATCCGATAATCCCACGAATATTTGATTATTAAATTCATATCTGATTTACTATGTTATCAGATATCCGATCTGATAATCTGATCCGAAATTAATAAAAATTAGGAAAAAAATCAAAGTTCTTTAAAAAAATTGAATTAACTTGAGGCCCACCTATTTTTACTAGCAAACTCAATAGTGACTTCTACCATCATGATGATTATTTTTAAAGGAGAGATCATCTTCTAGTTTTCTATTGACATTCGATATGGAATAAGGTAAAATTGAATTTCAATTCTAAATATAAATGTTTTATTTCATTATTTCCATTAACAAATAAAATTATTTGTTACATATTAATTATTAGTTTTTGAAGTTGTAAAATAAATTACAATAATAAATTTAATTAAAAAATATATAGATATTTATTTACTTTAAATTA